ATATAGTACACATAGGTGCCTTTGCTATATATATGCATTTATAAATGCACTTATGACACAGAGAGAAAGTACATACTAAATCAAACTTATTTATAGCTTCCTAATTGTTAGCCCTGAATATTTAATTTATTTGTCTAATTTTTAACATTTTAATAGTAATTTTTATATATCAATGAGTATGGAAAACATATATAAACATTTTGTTTAATAATAAAATGAATGTTCATATAATCACCATAGCTACATAGCTTTGATGTAATCTGTGCTGTACTAGTTCCTAGGGACAAAGTTCCAGGAATATTTTCACATGTCTACACTGTCAGGGATGAGGAAAGATCATATGAGATCATTAACCTTACTAATGACAAGACACACTGTGAGAGCAGCTTTTGAGATTCCCATATGAGTGAGATATTGAGATAGGGCGGTATTTGGCCTTCTGTGCCTGGCTTCTTTTACATAACACAATGTCCTCCATGCCCTTCCAGGCTGCCACAACTGACAGCATATGCTGCCTGGTTATGAGCAACTAGGGAAATTAGGGGGGAAAATGAATGGGGAGAAATGAAAGATCCGATACAGCGCTGTAGGCAAATAGGAGTGATATGCAGAATAAATTCTGTTACTATACGGCACAGTGGGGTGAGTATAACTGACAAAATAGAGTTTATATTTAAAAGTAGATGCGCCTGAGATTTAGCGCAGCAGTTCAGTGGCCTGAGTTCAATCCCCGGTACCAAAAAAATAAAAAAAAATAAAAAGTAGAAGCTAGAATATTGAATACACTCATCATAAAGAAATGATGAAGATGATAGAAAATGGGAGGTGGATTATCTTGAATTTCTCAGTTACCTTAATAAAAAAAGTCATTTCGCCTCTCCCATTGATATACACTGGTATTATGAGTCAGTCAAAAAATTAAAAAATTTGAAATACAAATTTTAAAAAATTAAAAAATCTGGAATGAAATATCTGCACAAGAAGTGTCAGATATTATGACTTTCTCCCTGTCATCCTCCATGGTCTATGTTGTAGGGATTGGACTGGACTAGTGAATTGAGTATAATATGAACAAGTCTCATACCTTAAAGACCTTTAGCGCTGTCCTGATTTCCCGCTAAATCCCTAGGAGCAAAGCGTTACAGAGGCTGAAGGCGTTTTCACGAGCTCCTCACACCTCATTGGCTGAACGCAACGATCTCCAGGCCCTTCCACTGAGTACAGCTAACGGCCAGCTGGGGAGGCTCAGTGGGCATCTTTGCTCCTTCAGTCTCAATTATTTTTAACTTTCCAAGCCAGTTAAAAAATGATAATATCCTTTATGAAAGGGGAACTCTATTATAAACCCTGTGGGTCTTAATAGAATTAATAGAATAATATAATTTTATGTGCAAATGCTTATTATTATTCAAACATCAATGTCATAGAGATATTTTCTAAAATGCAATTAATTAATCATGGCCAAAACCAATGTAGATAGTTATATAACTGCCAATCCCATAGAATTCTTACTTGAAACTATCCCACAACGAGAACTCCTGGGATAGATTGGCTAAACAATCACGTTTCAAAATCTTTATGGAAAATAGAACAAAAAATTATACAAACTTTCGGAAAGCAAAGAATGAAGATATACTTTCTATTCAGTTTAAAAACTCAGTGCAAAGTTGCAAAGGAGATTATGAGACATAAGTATAAAACAAAAACCTCCACAAAAAAACACATTTTAACAAAATAGCAAGTAAGATCTAATGATGTAGAAAGCAAGAAATGTGATTTTAGATATGCAAATGTTTCCAACTCAGAATCTGTTAACTGTATTAAGACAAATTAATATAGAAATAAAAAAATAATATGTATACATCATATTTTAGAGACAGCTCTGTATTTCTGATAAAAGATTATTGAATAATAAAATCTAGTAATCAAAAATGATGAAGCACAAACATGAGTAAAAACTATTGTGTTAATTCATAAAAAATTACCTACTAAAATTTCACAATTTCTCTTCCATTCCATAGTGAAATATTAAATATTTCTCTGTAATGTCATAGAGGAAATCAAATATATTATCTCAACTTCAACAAAAATTTTGCAATTATATGCTAGTATGATTAGAAAATATGGGTTCCAATTGCAAAGAAAAACAAAAATGCCTTCTATTGTTAGATATAATTATAGTGCAAATAATAAAAAATCATTAAATGTTATTTTAATAGATGAACTTAACTAACTTTGTATAAAGGTTAAAAACTGTCCGTTAGAGATGTAGCAATCAAGAAATGTCTATAGAGATTTAAAAGCCCTATATTTTGGACTTCTTACATCAATATATGTGTTTGCTAAAAAAAGATCAAATTAAATATTTAAGGCTACTTGTTACTATTTTTATATTATACATGAATAACATTGCTTTGAAAAATTATGACAAAGTAAATGCAATTCTAGTCCCCCAAACTGCTAAGTGGTAGCATTAGTTTACCGCAGGGAATAGGTGTGCATTTAGTGTGTTATTTGTACATTTTTCTGTGTCCAATTATACTTCACTATTAAAATGTTATACTAAAAAGCATCAATTAAACGAAAGAGACTTCTCCATATGGATGACAAATAAAGGGGAAAAACCTCAACACTAACTTCACATCTTCATCCCTTGCAATGAAACAGAAGACTTTTGGGTGACCTGGAGCATTTTTCTCTCTGTAACCAGCGTATTTCTCAAGAGGTCCTATATGCCATGTTCTACGTTTTAAAGATCTTTGCACTCTGTTCCTTTTTACCATTCCAGAGAGGCATCATCTAGTGTGGGGTTTGTCATGAGCCCACTGTCAGGGAATGTAGATGACCTTGTGTCCCACCCTGCGTCCACTGACCAGACATGGTTTGTGCCTTTTAACAATGAGTTATTTGTAACTGACTCATATGGTTTTGTATAAACATAAAGATCATTAATTTAGTTGAATACTCTTATGCTATCTTTTGACATAATCCCCTGAAGAGAAAATTCTAATGGTAATTATAATAATAGTAGTACTACTGACTAATATTTATAGAATATTACATGCAATGAAGTGGGCAAAATCTACTGGCTCAACTCGTGGATGAAGGCAGGAATTTTCTTTTTGTTGTGTTTTCAAGACAGGGTCTCCCTGTGTAATTCAGTTTGGGCTTGAGCTCACTATTGCGGACCCACAGTGGAAGTGACTGAGAAGGGCCCCTCTCTTCTCTCTGCTCTGGGGCCCTCGTCACCTAGTCAGCACTTTCCCCACGTTGTTTCGGCGTTTATGCCGCCAATTATCCACTAAAACTTCGGAAAGCACCATGGGTCAAGGTAAACCACTCATTTCATAAGTCATAGGCGGTTTTCCGGGGAGGAGAACTAAGACAGATGTATGAATGTGGTGGATTTCATTAATGGTACCACTAAAGGAAATGAAGGACGAGAGGGAGAGAAAGCCAGTGAATTATATAAGGATTTTTAAAAGGGAGAGTGCTTCCCAATAAACTTAAAACAAAGGAAAGATTAGAAAATAATAATTTTGATTTCTCTTTGAAGTAATTGATTCTAACAAAGATTCTCGATTCGTGCTGAGATAACTGGTGAGGGTTTGTTGGTGAAGGACGCCTAGCCCGTCAGAATATTCACATAAGTAAAAATTCTTGTTTATCAACAAGGGAAAGGTGTTCCCTGCTAATGGAGAATCTACACACAAACCATCTGAATCGCATATTCAATTGGGGAAAATGTCAATAGTTACATATTTAATCATGCCATGAGAATTAATAGGAGTTTCATCGTATTCTTGTGAAAAACATTAAGTTGAATCAAATCAAGTGGAATAACATAGAAAATACTAACACTGGAAAAGACTAGTAAACAGCTCAGAATGCTCCAATATGTCAATAATCTGAAACACAAAACAGGGGGAAGGAGAGAATTTCTCTAATTAGGTAGGTTAAAAAACACAAAACACCAGTATAACATGTTCCTTGATTTGTCTGTATATTTTTAAAAGATCTATGAATGGCATTTTGGGGACATGTATAAAAATTTGACCATGAGCTGTGAGTTGGGTAACATTATTCTATCAGTGATAAATGTTTTAGATATAAAAATGGTACAATGCCTCCAGTCTTAGGCGCTCCATACCGGAGTACTGTAGAGGTTTCTGAGATGCAACTGAACTTTAGATCAATTAGATGTGCATGTATGCGTGGTGCGTGGGGAAACCTAGGAGCACACAGTAATTCTTTCAGGTTTTCTGCATATTTAAACTATTTTATAAGCTGGAATAAAAACGCTACACATATCTCAAAGTACTTTTAACATTCACCATTCATCGCACCTTCTTCAGACCCTGCACTCACTGTAACTGCAAATGTGTAAGTGGATTCAGGAAACGGTTAGTAAACGACAATGACAAACGCTTTTGCGAATTTGAAGGGGACCAAGGGATGGAGGGAGCAAGGAGAGCGGAGAAGGGAGGTGGAAGTAAAAAGAATTAAGATGTGGTATGTGCATGTGCCCACTCCTCACCAAGAACGTAATCAGTACATAACGTAAATACATACTAATTTTTAAATCTTAATAATTTCTAAATCCTTCTACATTGTGTTGACACTTTAGCAAGTTTTTAATAGGTGTTTCATAAAATCGTATGTATAGAACATACTTAAATCTATTCTGATGATTTGCTTACACTTATTCTCTCCTATATTGTGATTTACCTCAAGAATTTTGTTTTCTCTTTTGCTGATAAAGTGCATTTAGCTCCCAAAATGAAATCCTCACATGACTTCAAATGCCATTCTTTGTGTATAGGTAAAGCTGAAATAGGGTTATGTGCAGCTATGAATAAATGTATATAAAAATTCATATTCGAAGAAACTATTTTTAATTCAAACAGCATCCCTTGTTATATTTTAACCATCTTTACTTCAATAGAATATGAGGTTTTTCTTTTTTGTTTTTACAATTTAATAACATTCATGGTGGGAGATATTCAATTAGAAGTCAAGTAAGAGAATAAAGCTAAAAATAATTTAAGTTATATATCACTATCTTCAAAGAATACCAACTAATGTGGGGGTGAATATAAACAAATACAATAGATAAACTGTCAGAGGAATAGTTAAGAAAAATTCTAGGTGCGTACTTGTCGTACTATACTTCCATGGAAAGTGAATGCTGTAATGCTACCAACAGGAAGATATAACAGGAAGCTATATTTTTGGTATCCCCATCATAGATGATGCCACCATATATAACACTTCTAAAATTAATGAGGTGGCAGATATATTATGTGCAAAATTGTTAACTGGGATCTGCATAATTTAAAAAACTAATTAATTATGAAAAATTGCATCACTGTATAAAAATGTAAGTAAAATGATTGTTTACAGAGAAAGACATTTTAGTGCTTCATATACAATGAGAATTATTTGGGTTTGAGCATGAGTTTTATATTGGTATTTAGCAAATTACCATAAGTTCAGAAAGTTGAAAAAAATACAAATGTATTATTTTGGCTTCCAAGAGTAAAATGACAATTAGCAGAGACCTTTCCTTCTACACTCTCTGGGCTGCAAGCAATGTGTCAGGCCAGGTTTGTAATTTCATTTAAGCCTGAGGGTACTGTTCTAAGACTGTACAGCTGTTGGCAGAGTTTATATCCTTGCGTGTAACTGTGGAACACCTAGCCTCTGTCTTCAAGGTCAGGAGTAAACTGACCTCAGATAGGGTCCTTCCCTGTTAATGGCTAACAGACCAGGTCAGACCCACCAGGATAATCTCTATTTTGATAAAATTAAAGTCAGGTATTTAGTAGCATTATCACAAATATAATATCACTTTCTATATGCCAGTTCTTTGAGGTTGCAAGGCAGGATATTATCAAGAGGATGGAACACAGGGACAGGAATATTATGGAGAAGATCACATTGAAACCCCACCTCCTACAAGTACTGCAAAATCTCAATTCACATATCAGGATCTGGGAAAGTCACCTAAATAAACGACATGGAATGATGATCTGTCAAGCATTTGTTTTTCATGAAAACTACATTTGAGTAACCATAGAGTTACTGTGTATTCTTAATAACTACTAGTCCATATATAAATGAAGAAATTAGCCCCATATTCACTCAGT